TGAATTTAGATTCTTTCAATTTTAATTCAGATAATTGATAATCTACTTTTATCTCTATAGCAATATAAACAAATATGCTAAGTCACGTTACAAAGATCTACTATCAAAAGCTACATGATTAACTTGAATCCAAACCCAATCTACGTTTGATCCACAGTCCAAGAATTAATCATATGCAAATAATATATATACTTTATGATCGTATATTTCTTTTTCACAAAGAATCGAGATTAAAATTCCACGTTGATCATCAAACTCAAATGAACATCACTGTTTGAGATGGCTTCCGGCGAAAGTTGACATAAAACACGCAATATCCTGCATTAGAGCTGAAGTGTATATCGGTCGCAATGAAGCAATTATTTTCATCCAACGTTACCCATTAGTCGACAATCCGATTACACGGCTCGGGCAGGTCAGGTGCTGCCTCCACTCCCTCTCTTTCTCACTCACAATCTTATCGAAAGGCATCGATATATATCGCGATACATGGACATATTCCGTTTTGTTTTGAATTTCCTCAATTACAACAAACATGGCTGACCAAGAATTAAGATCAATGAATTGAAATGAAAAAGACGGATTTATTAAAAAAAATAGTTGAAAAGAAATTTTCATCAAAGGAATTGAAGAATCGAAAGATTGTCAAATATAGTCATTTGATGGATGAAAAATCGTTCGAAAGAAAATTAAATTGATCGAAGTGCTCGATGAAGCTATTGAAAAGTTGTTTTTTTTTTTTTTTTGAAATTGTTGAATCGCCATTGCACGAATTTTAGTGAAAAATATACACGGATTCGGAATGACAACAATCGCCCCTTAACCTCTGTGTTATTAAAGTGACCAATGCCGCGCCCTCAAAGTGTTTTTGATCGATTCGAGTGAAATTTTGCATGCTTCTCTTTTTAAAATGTTATTGGAAGCATAAGTGGGCACGACGAAAGTGAAAAGGCTTCAAATATTTTTATATAAAAATATATGCTATTTATATAAATATTATATAGAGAGAAGAAATATATTTATAGAATACAGATATTCACGGATAATTAAGTAATAAAGTAGAATTTATTATTATTCTTCCATTCTTAAATTTTTACTACTTTATTTTTGAAAAAAAAAAAAAGGTATTGTTCTTTTTTTCTTTTATAAAAAGAATACAATTTTTCGTATAATTTTTGACAAAGTTTGGGCGGTTTAAACTTTGGCATTTCGAGGGAAGCGAGAAGGTAAAGCGCGTGTTAATTAATTTAGGGGACAATTAACGATGCAACCGGGATGAAATCAAACAGATAATCGCGAGATCAAATTCTTTGATCTAATTTTTCAAATTTTTTTTTTTTAATTAAGAGTAAGGCAAACTTCCTGTTCAAAAAAAGAATTGTTAAAAAAAATTTTATATCCGCGAGAAAGAGAAAATTAATTAAATCGCTTGAAAAAAATCAATTTTTCTTTTTTTTTTTTTTTCGTTTAAAATATTTTATTTCTCTATTATTTTATGTTCATTCGTCGTTTTTTTATTTTATTTCATTTTATTTATTAAAAAAGAAAATTATAAATTGCTCGTTTGTACAACAAAAGTAAATCTCGCTTTTAATTACAACTGTTTTTGTTCGAACTAAATAAACGAAATTACACTAGATTCGATGCTACAAGATGAAATATTTTATAATACTCCTCCCTCCCCGTATTTGCCAAGGTGTTGGGACAAGGAGAACGAAATCTTGATAAAGAGGAGACTCGTTATTTGCACGCAAAAACGTACAATTCCCTCGAGATTAAACAAGCTCATAGAGAGGGGAAATATAAAGAGGAGCGATTTTTTACAATCTTCACATCAAAATTACATCAATTTTATTTTCCAACTCCATTATTCCCGTCCCACTTTTAATTTACTCTTGAAACATGAGATTTCATTTATTTTTCTAAAGATCGGACAACAAACACGACGTAGTGCGAATTGTCCAATTTACTGAAATAATCAAAATGATCGTAAACATCTTCGTCATTTTGAAGATGGCAATGAGAGAGACAGAGAGAGAGAGAGAGAGA